TGGGTAATACATATGAAATTACTTTTAAATATCCTCGTGGCAGCTCCTATTTACCAGACTATCTGTGAGCTCAGGACGTGCAGAGATGCCCCAGAGGGGGCTCCTGCATTGCTGGAGCCTCAACAGTGGCCTTTTCCTTAACTTCCACGTTGTTCAGCAGCAAACACCAACATTTCCTTTCACAGCCCTGTCTAATTTCCCTGCTAAAAGTTTATTTCACCAGCATCACCAGGAAAAGGAGTGCAGAGGGGAATTTGGAACCGGGAATTTGAAGCCAACATATGGAAATTCTCTGGCTTCAGCTGGAAGGGAAATAAGAGTGGGGCCTGCGACTCCCAAGAAGCTCAAATCAGTGGGTGAAAGACACTGCTGAGACTAAAACATGTGAGAATGAAAACCAGGAATGGGATGTGACAGGGACTTTGCCTGCAGAGGCAGGGAAGTGGCTCTGAGATCTCCCAGAGGAGCTCTGAAGCCCAATTCTTCAGGCCACATCTATGAAATCCTGAGCTGATCACGAGTACAAAGCAGTTACTGGAAGTACTGAGCTTTAAAACAGTGATTAATCATTAATAGGGTGATTGCAGATGGACAGAGCTCCATTAAAAATGTTTCCACCCTTCCACTGGCTTCCTGTCATCCCTGAAGTTTTAACAGCTCCTGTGCTATCCCAGCTGATGCAAACCACCCCAAAAATCAGCAGAAGGACCCCAAGCTTTTGGAGTACAGGTCTCACCTCTCGTTAACATGACACCCTGGGTGTCAGGGGAGGAAGGGTATCGCTCACCCTGGGAGCCACACAAAAGTCAGGGCTAAATTTTCTCAGTTTGCACCACAGCAGTTGGTGCTTTCACAGGTATTTAAATGTTACTCTCAGAGCAGACCCTGAGTTTTCCAAAGAGCGTCTCAGCAACCTGGGAATAAAAAAATCCCACCCCTGGCACAGCATGAGCCTGTTCTCCCTCCCATCCTAATGACTCTGTTGCGTTCCCAGACACCCACACCCACTCCAATAAAAGGAACACGGGAGTGGACAAAGCACACAAAGCCCTGAGATCACTGGAGCCAGGGCTTTGCCATAAACCAGCTCCCTGTGCAGGGATGTGAGCACACCCTCCTCCCTCCCTGAGCACACAGGACAAATTAATGCTCAGTGCAGGGGGAGAGCCACAAAATGCCCCTTAAACACCCCACACACAGTCTTGTTCTCTTCACCATCACTTCTCCTGTGCCCTTATGTTCTGCTTCCACTTGGAAATCGATGGCAGTTGGAGCCAGGGATGGAGCAAACACCCCAAAGAGCTTTAAAGCCCAGTGTGGTGGTTACTGGTTGGACTAAAGGATGTCTGCAGGAGGAGGGAACTGTGCTGGAGCATCCCTGGGCTGCCCCTGCCTCTGGAAAACCAGGAATGGGAACAGCAGGGAAACCCCTGGGAACTCTGAGGCAGAGACAGGGATGGCCCTTCTCTCGGCAGCTCACTCCCACTGCTCACAGTGACCTTCCCAACCCTTTTGCTCCCTGTTTTCTCCCTCAGCAGCTCCCAGGACTCCACGTCCCAGCAGCAGCAGTGTCGGGGTTGCTGATTAACCCGTTCACTGTTGGGGCTACAATGAGCTATAAAAAGCAGCCCAGGGAGTGGCAGCTGAGCCTGAGTGGCAGAGCTTGGCTCAGTGTCCCCCTGTGTAACCGTGTCCCTCCTGCTCTGTGCTCCCCCAGGGCTGCAGGGGTGATGGGAACACCATCAATCCCCGCTGCCCACCAGCTGCAGCTGAACCCACAGTGCTCCCCTGGCCACAGGGCTCCAGGCACAGAGAGCAGAGTGAGCCTTTTTCTCCCTGAAACGAGGCAGAATGAGGAAAAGCTCCCTAAAAAAAAAAAAAAAATAAGTAAAAAAGAAAGCTGGTGTTGAGCAGATTCCCTTTGAAGCTGGGCAGCCTCAAACTTTGCTTTGCCTCTAGTTTACAGAACCAAATGGTGACACTGGCTGATACATTAAATATAAACCTTCTATAAAACCTGAGTATTTACCTTTCCATGTGCCAGGAAGGCAGAACTGGGTCTTTCCTCTCAGTCCCTACTAAACCCAGCTCAGCACATTCCTGCTCTTCCCGGCATTACACTGCTCTGTGCATTTATAGGCACTAGAGCTGGAAGTCCTGCCCTCTCCTGGGATCAGCTCTGACCTTCAAATTGCTGTCTTGGGCCCCACTGTCACCTGAACAGTTCTCCTTCAAACAGTTCCATCACTCAGTAAATAAGTTACAGCACAGAGGTGCTTAATGTTCAATTATGCGAGTTTGTTCTCTCCCTGTAAAACCCTTCCCTCCCTAAACTGGGAATTTGGAGGCTGGAATTCCCTGCATGGAGCTCACACACACCTAGACCCCTCCTAAGCAGGAGAAGGGACAGAATTATACTGTAATTTCAATGACAATTCCAACTCTGACGTTGCCAGCCCTTCCACCCAAGCCACCACCCGGCCAACCAATTTATTTCCATCTCCCCACATCTGCTGAGGTTTAAATCAGAGAGACCAGAAGAGTTTGTATTAAGAGATCTCCAGGATGCACACAGCAATGAATACAAATACCCAGGCTGTGGTGGGACTTCATCAGGGCTGTGTTGCACTGGAAAAGAACAGGAATTTGGTCTGTTTTTTCCTGGCCTAGCACCTGACTCCATGCCAGTAACAGCCCTGGGCTGTGCTACACAGATGTAACCATTTGTTTGCTTGTTTTTTTTTTGTCAACAGCTGAATTTCTCCTCTGATAAAGGCACCACATGATATGTCCTCGTCTTCATGACTCACTGAACACACCAAATGCTCTGTGAATCACCACCAGCAGCTCTCATCCAGCCTGATTTACATCATCTCAGCAAACCACAGTGACACACCAGCCCAGGGAGCAGCAGGAGGGGTCAGATAAGATGCAAAACCTCCCTGGCCAGAGCCCCACTGAAAAAAAAGCTGAGTGGTTCCACATCTGGGGGGGAAAAAAGGAGGGAGAGGGGAGCCAGTGTGTCACCAGTGTGTTCCCTTGACCTGCTGCAATGAGCACCCTCTGCTTGGGCGACTCTGCAGCCAACTGTTCACCAAAGCAGCACCTTTGGGAAGGGGGAAAACCCCAGTGCTGGAGCTCCTGTGGCAGAGGGAAGGTTGGAATATCCCTGTCTCCAGCCCTTTCTTACTCTTCCCTTTTTGAAGCTCGTCCAGAAAGTTTGAGCAAAGATGACTCGAGGCAGGAGACAGCCCAGACCTGTCCTCAGTGTAAAGCACTCACAATTAAAAGAGGAAAAAAAAAAAGAGCAAACCAAGTGTTTCTTGAAAGTGTAAATCCCACTTTCCAGCAGAACTGGTGGCTGCAGAAGGACACTCTACCCTCAGCCTGCAGCAGAGTGTGGCAAGGTTAACTATTAGGCAAGCTTCATTAAACCTTTCTAAATGCTGCTGTTTGCTCCCATTATTCAAATGCCTCATTTCCTTGTAAAGCAAGGGAATTTACCCTAGATGTCATTTTTTTAATTATGTGCATTCAGTTATTCCTCATGGCCACAGCTAATCACTCCTCAGGACGTTGCCCGTGGGGTGAAGAGAATCCCCCCCAGCACAATCACTTCTGCCTCTGGACACACACCGTGACCTCGTGGCTCTTAACCACAGGAACTGTACCATCACCATCCCCTGACTGCTTTTCCATGCACTTGGCTGTCACAGTGTGCCTCCAGTTCCAGGGATATTCAGAACAACTGAGCTGGTGTTCATTTAAACCCATCTCACAGCCTCAGCCCTCTGTAACAACCCACACTGCTGCCCCTCCCAGCCTGATGGCTGGGGCATACCAAGTGCTTCTTTTGGCCACAAAACCCTCCCAGGATGGGATTCTGGTGGTGCAAATGCCAAAGCAGCTGCTGCTCACAGCAGCAGGAGCAGGGACTGGCTGCTTTCTCCGTGAAGTTTGATTCAGTTCCTACAGAACCCTGTAAAAATTTCCCTGAGAAAACAACACTCGTTGTGGCTGCCAAGAAGCTTCCAGGGGGGTTCTGTGGCTATGGACTCAAGGTTTCCCAGCTCCTGCCCTGCTATTCCAGCTGTCCCTGACCAGCTGCAGTGTGGGGAGTGTCCTGAGGCAGGGATGAGCCCTCAGCAAGGGGAGGGTCGTGTCTGTGACTCCCTGAGCTGACACAGGGAACCAAAGCAGTGAGGAACTCACACTCCAGGGAGGGAAACTCAGCCAGAATTCTCTAAGATGAAGAGCTTTCTCCCAGCAAAACCTCCTCAAGAGGAGCATCTTTGGGGGGGATTTAAGGGTTTGCTCTCACCTACTCACACTTCCACCCATCCAAGAGGGCACTGACACCACGGGGGCAGAAGCACTTTGCAGCTCCTCAGCTTCTCCTGATGATTCACATGGACACACTGCTCCCTTTGGCTCTCCAGCTGGGATTAGGAAGTGCTTTGTAAACAACTATGGTGCTCCCTATACCAGTTCCTTTGACAGAGAAAGCCCTGCCAGCCACGTGAAGGAAGGAGCCTGTAACACAGGAAATAAAGAGGTAAGAAGAAAAGAGATAATCAGATAGTCCTCATTCTCAAAAATGCTTCTCTGTTTCATCAAGAAGCAAAACAACACCAAAGCCCACATTATTAAATGTAATAAATTAATTCAACATTTAATTAGAGAAAAATCAAAGCTTTTTGTGACCAGACACAACATACATTTTGCCAAAAATACATTTTGCTCAAAAGCTGCTTTATTTCTTTCACACGGCACAGTTGCAGATTTCACATCAGCCCTGGTGGTTTGGGTTTGCAAAACAGGAACATCTCAAGAAAAAAAAATGAACAAATTCTGAGAAGCAGAGTGGCTGGATTCCTGCAAGAATTCCTGTGTGTCTGTCCCTGTACAGCACAGGAGCAAGGTCCAGGGGTGGGAAACACAGTGAGCGGGGTCAAAATAATCCCCTGATGTGACTGTGACCAGCTGAGCTGAGGCTCCCTTCACTTCCCAGCAGTTATTTCTTCTCCTTTATAAACAACAACGTTCTGCTCCGTCTCGTGCACCTTCACCTTGTGAAGGATCCCCGGGGGCAGGAGCCTCTGCAGGCCCTCCCAGATGAACACGGCGACGTTCTCCGTGGTGCTGGGGGGGAAAGGGGGCACAGTCAGAGCCCACGGCAGCACCCCAGCACTACAGCGGGCTGGGGGGGACAGTGGAGGCCACGGGGAGCCACGTGGGCACCTGATGGGGCAGGACTGAGCCTTGGAGAGTGTTCAGTGCCAGGAGGAGCCCCCCGACCCACCTCACCACCTCGGCGAAGTACGGCACGTCCTTGTCCAGGTTTTTGTGGTCCAGCGGCTCCATGATCGCCTCCTGCAGAGAGAGGAGGGAGAGTCCTGTCCCAGCTGGTCAGGGGGCCTGGGGTTCAGATAACCATGCACAAGGGACTGGAAGGTATGTGCAAAAAAGAGGGTGAGAGCCCTACATACAGCCGTGAAATTCCTGGTACTGCTGGAGCATTTTAGTCTCAAGTCGTTCCTTAATTTCTCCTTTATTTCCTGCCATCATCATCTCACCATGTCTCTCCACTCTGGCACTGCACAGATTGCTGAGCTCTAACCAGTTCTCCCAGGGGACACGTGGGAAAACAGTGCAATTACCTGCATGTATTCCTTGAGGTCTGTCAGGTTCATAACCATTCCTGAGACTGGGTCAATCTGCAGGGAAACCCAAAGGGAGATCAGCAGCCTGGCCACACATCCTTATTACCTGCACAATTCAGACATAAATATCTGTGCTCAGGTCATCTGAGCCACGAGAGAAATAACTTTCTACTGTCACAGAGTTCCAGCTCTACTCCTGTGATGGTCCCAAAGGCTTGACAGCCTACAAACAACTCCAGTGGTGCCACTCTCTCATAAAAGCTGACTCCAGAGAGGAACAATTCACTGAAAGAGTCTTCAAGCAACAATCTGGAGTGATGATAAGCAGGAAAACAGGCATTAAACTGCTCTGTTGAACAAGCAGGAACAAATCAGAGCCCAGTCTGAGCTCAGGGCATTCTCCCTTCCAAGAAATCCTCCTCAGAGACAAGGTGAACAGGACAGTGGTTATGGAAAACCTCCTACAGTGATGAACACAGTTCCCACAAACACTCTGGGAAATGCAGCCCCTGGGGCAGCACTTCAGCCCTGTGGGACAGGGGGGCACATCCATCCTGCCCCCTCAGGAAGAGAAAAAACTGCTGATTGCACTTACCTGTCCACGCACCGTGACTGTAACTGCAAACAGAGAGAGGGTCAGGTCACCAGGAGCTCAGGAACCCAAACCCAGCCCTGCTGCTCTGGGGACAGACACCCCCCACTGCTCACCCCAGGGACTGGGGCAGGGCTTTAGGAGATGTGGGGGCAGCTTCTGAGTCTTCTGATGTAATGGAAGAGCAGAGAACAAAATTAAGGGATGAAGTGTCTGCCGCTTCTCTCGGGACTAGAACTGTTGTGCCTGTAAATCAGTTTAAAATTGAGGGACAGATCCTCATTTCAGCACCCTGTAACTTATCTTCCCTGGCAAAGCAAGGAGCTCTGGAGCAGAGGTTTTGGGGCACCCACAACACAGTGCAAACAGGGAGCCAGTCTAGGAGCTGGAGACATCTAATTCTGTGTGCTCAGGGTGCAGGGAGGAGGAGGAGGACTTGTGAAAACAACATTCAAATAACGTTTACAGGCTGTTTAATTTGCATGTCTTTTGCTTAGAAAAATCCTCATTCAAACCACAATGATTTTGCAGAGTGTAAACAAGTAGATTTGATTTATGAAGTGACATTCTGAGATAAATAGTTATTATCTATTCAACTGAATATACTGCAAAGCTATTTTTCACCCCCCTGCTGCTGAGGTTTCCTTCTAATTCTTAAAAAGACACAAAACCAGCCACTAAAAACTATCAGACTGAGCCCTGAGTGGCCCAGCTGTCCTGTGGGTTATTCACACCCTGAGAGCAGCCTCTGCCCATCACCACAGGAGGAGGATGGAAGTCAGCTCCTTGCCTTTGTAGTTGTGTCCATGGCCATTTGGGTTGTTGCATTTCCCAAACAGCTTCAGGTTTTCTTCATCACTCAGTGATTTACTGTGAGAGAGGCAGACATGGCATGTCAGGGTCCATTCCAGGTGCTCATGGCTTCACTTCAGCCCCCATTGCTTTTCAGCTCTCCATCTACTCCCCCTCCCAAATTTAACCCACCAGTTTTTCCTGCTCAGGAGGCACAAAAAAAACCCACCCCAAACCAAAAAACCACCACCAGAATAGTATTTGGGCCATACTGGAAAACAGTGAGGGTTTTCTGCTGTGTTTTTTTCATCTGTTTCATTACATCTGCCAAACTGCTGTAAATGTTCCAGATATGAAATATGGCCCAAAATCACTCTCAGAAGGAAGTGCTTGAGCAAACTGTGCACATCAGCAGTTACCACTGATGAATAAAGCTTAGGGAGCTTCTCCAAGGAGTACAAAGCGTGACCTCCCCCTCTGAATCTTCCCTTTGAAGCCACTCTGCTCTGAGGAGCATTTCAGGTCAAGGCATGCTTCAGGAATAGCACAGAATCCCAGAATCAGTTAGGCTGGAAAAGATCTCTGAGATCATCCAGTCCAACCTATGACCCAACAGCACCTTGTCCCTCAGCCCACAGCACTGAGGGCCATGTCCAGTCATTCCTTGGACACTTCCAGGGCTGGGGACTCCACCACCAGCCTGGGCAGCCCCTTCCAGTGCCTGAGCACCGTTTCTGTGATGAAATTCTTCCTTATGTCCAACCTAAACCTCCCCCGGTGCAGCTCAAGCCTCTGTGCCCCCATCCTGTCGCCGGTTTCCTGGGAGCAGGGAACTGTCAGGGACTTTCAGGTCACAGGAACGCAGAATATGCCGAGTTGGAAGGGACCCACAAGGATCATCGAGTCCAACCCCTAGGCCTGCACGGGCCCATCCCCGCGAGTCACACCCTGTGCCTGAGAGCATCAGCCAAACGCTCCTTGAGCTCTGGCCCAGGCGCTCTTTAGGAACACGTAAATTTCGAGGGAAAACCCCAACAGATTAGGGGAGATCTGTTTACAAACCGGGAGACGTTTACAAACTGCGAGACCCACGTGCTAAAACAAAGAGCTCCAGTTCTCGCTAAGCCCCGCCGGGCACGGACGGGCGCGATCAGGAAGGGGCTGAACGAGAAGAGCCCGGCCCGGTGTCCGCGGCTCCGCCGGGCGCTCCCGGGGGCTTTGGGGCGGCTCTGGA